TGGACATCTTTCACACCACATGGGTTTCTTCTATTGCATATATATCTGTACTTAGGGATGGCTATCCTACCCGGTGGGTATCCCCCTATCCTCCCCGATAGGGCTCTAGAACCTGTATGGGTACGAATAGAATACAGTATTAGGTTAAACCTGATCCTCCCCAATTAATATTTTATTGGAAATTAAAGCATATAAACTTTATGTATTAGGTGTTGAATTTAATAATATTTTAAATTTTATGTGAATGATAATTGATAGTTTATGTGTTTTCTACATGTCTTAATCAAATAATTAAAAATTTTATTGTATATTTGTGTTATTGTACTTATTTATTGCAAGAAATAATAAGAAATTAGATGCATATTCTAAACCCAACCCACCCCTACCCTTGAATACAAGGAGGGTAGGGTCGGGAAGGGTTTTGCATTTTCATGTGCAAAAAGGGTTTGGATTCTCAAAATGTAACCTGTTATGGGTTACGGATTAGGAACTTCAGAAAGGCGGGTAAGGTTTAGAATTTACAAAGTCCTCCCCAAACCCACCTCGCTGCCATCCCTATCTATACTATGAGAGCGGAATTGGTCCTTACAGAATTATTTTCACACTGACATATTTTTATTCATGGGAAAATGTTTCTATTGCATGACTAAAAACTGCTGTGAGGACAATGTGAAGATGATTCTGTGAGGACCAAATCCAAATTCCTATACCACATAGTTGTCCATGCCAGCATATTCTCTTCTCTCCTTGCATTGTTTCTCAACTCTTGAATTTTTAATTAAAAAATTAAAAATAAAACACGGGGCTCCATAAATTTACCCACAAACCAATTCAGTTTCGTTTTATTACAAGACTGAATGTAATTACTTCGCTGGAGGATATGGGCATCGATCTTTTTAACTCAGCCTGTGCATTGCACAAGTCTCTACTATTATACAAATTAGGAATGACATTTTAAGAAAGGAAATTGTTAATTTTTTTCTAGGCCTCATTGAATATTCCTATAAAAAGGTTTAGCCAAGAAACCCGTATTCTAAAAAGAAAGAAAAAAAAAAATTAAAAGCATGAGGTTTTCTTGATTCACATGTATGGCACCAAAAGAAAACTACATCAAACATAGCTGCACAAGGGTTAAACTTGGGCACCTTCCATTTTTTTTGGTAAGGGGAGCATACCCCACTCATCACAGAAGAGTTGATGCATTAGCAATTCTTTCTCTAAATATCTTTTGTCTTTTCACTAAGAACGGTTTCAATTATCAAAAACTGGGATGGACCCAAATTAATTTCCTTAATTAAACATAGAGGCAAAGAATAAACAAAAAGAAAAGAAGAAAAGAGAAACCTTGATAGTGTGTTCAAGTCAACTGTACAGGATTAGTTGTAGCATATCCCCTGCTAAATAATGGATGCCACCCATGCAACCCTAATCTCCATGATAGGTTATTCTCCCCTCTCGACAATGCAAAGTGGAAACATCAATATGGATGTGGTGTCATTGCAGAGAGTTTGCTTAAATACTAAACCTCTTTTTTTTTTTTTTTGTTTTTCCTGTGTGTGACCTCATGGGTATCCTCTTGGGAAAACTATCAAACGTACGGTTAGGGGATCCGGATGCAAAGGACTAGTAGGGATTGGGTCGGGTTTGAGTTGAGTTTGGTGGGCAGAGTCAAGCTCAACCCGAATGCAAAGGATATGCATGAAAGGTATTTGAGGGGGGGCGGGGGTGCAACTTGGGTCGGGTTTTTGTTAAGTTTTAAATGGGTCGAAGCTGATCCGTCCAGTCAGCTTGCCAGCCGGAATCGGATTGGACATGATTCACTGTATGGGCCCACCTGATGGACTGGTTCTAAAATTTAGAGAGTTGTTCACCACTCCACCAAGTCCAGGGTTGGCAGGGCAGGGCCCAGGACTGTTGAGAAAAAGGCCAAGATTATTCCATCATTTCCACAACTGTGCAACAACAGAAGATTAACAAAAAAGCAATGTTATTCCCACGTGAATGTATTAAAGAAGTGCACAAGAAGAATAATTAACATTCTAGCTTTAACTGCTAATTTAAAAGCAGCTTTTTGATAAGTTGCATGAATTCATCCTCCGAATTTCTTTGTCCCAATCATGCTTCTCTCTCTTTAAGTAAATTATTTCTTTTAATGTAAAGAAACTGATAGTGGGCATTTCCTTTTAGGGCCATTGTTGAGCTGCTTTAGGAGTAGGAAAGCTCTTCCATTACCATTTGCCACTCTCAAAAGCAACCCCACCCTTCTCCCGTACTTAATCCTGTTTTTGTCTGTAACTTGTGTTCTCAGACCTCAAAAAGGCATCAAGTCCCAAATTATTCTAGACTTTTAGTAATTGAGGAATCATGGATTATATCCATTTGTTTGTTGTTAATTAACCCTCGAGAGTTAAGAGTTAGGACCACTGTTTCAAAGACTTAAAACCTAAATTTGGTCAAATGGGTCACCTTAGATGGGGCGTTACCCTTTGGAGAATAATCTTGTTTCAACATATTCGATTGTTGTCAACTCCTAGCAAGCAGCCTGGATTAGATCAGTCATCCCACCAAGGCTCCAAACAAAACTCAGGATCTAAGCAGCACCAGCGTGGCCCATGTCTGTCCTGGCCGAACAATGAAGCTTTTGGCCACTTTCTAGCCCAGAGAACACACAAAGCTCGACCTGGCCCCCCCTCCCCCCGTACGTTCTTCTGTGGAATAAATGCCACCAACACTATCCTTCTCCATGGACCATGGCCACTGCCGGCACAAATCCCCCATTTGGAATCAGGTCAACCCTAATTCAATTCCCTAGTTTTTCCCTGCTTCCTTTCAGATGGAAGTAGGCCCCAAGTTGTGTGCTTCAATGGGGTCAGCACTTATCTATATCGATCCTAGCTAGCCACCATTTTCATTCTTCTTGTTTACCATCAAGTTCCCTATCAAGTTCCCTAGTCAGTCAATCTGATGTGGATTTCGCCCTTCAATGTGGGTTCATGCCATTGGTTGGTATGAGGTAACACAAATTCAGCCGCATGAGCCAAAGTAATCACAGAATCACTTGATATGATTTGGATGTGCCCTGTTTGTTAAAACAAGAAAAAAGTGTGCCCAGGTAACTACCTTGTTTCCCCCTTTCTTATCAAACCTTTTAACCAGTCCTCAATGTTTTTCATTTTTGTTTTCCTCTTTACTAAGTGCAGCTTCAGCACACAACTGTAATGGGCGTATTATGATTAGACTGACTTGTTAGCCCAGGTTGGGTTTATATACAAGAAACTAAACCAAGATGGGGCAATAAATCTGGGTCCCCATATCAGGACTACCCCAGAACAGGCCTGGATTTAAAGCCCACCTAGGCAACCTGGACTACTTGTCTGTAACCTTCTCCATGGTTCAATATGGAGCTGACTGTGGTACCTTGGAATGAGTGGCCTCTCAGGAGATGCCACTTAGAAGCTTCAAAAACAAAGTCATGCACATTGGCAAACACCCCCTAAGTAACTGTTACAGCAGTGCTGTTTCACTTGGTTTCATCTAAAATACTTGGAACTTGATAATCACTTGGTTTATAGATCTTTTTCCTAGTAAATTCCTTATTAATACTGAATTAATTCCTGGGATTTTTGACGCATGAACCTGCCATCACTAAGTATTATGTATACAGGAAACAACAGTTAAGGATTCTTCGTGATGAAGACTCTGTCTTACAGAAGAGATCTAATGAAATGCAGTTGGAGGCTTGGATAGATAAACAAGAATCTCCTTATTGCATGCAAGCCAAGAAAAAAATATAAAAGAATAGGAAAGGAAAAGCTCTGGCTTGTGGCTTTGGACTGCTAATGGAGTCATATAATGTACCAACGGGCTACAGACATGAAATTATAAAATATCAACCATAGCTTTCCAACCAAGTACATAGATGCTTTAAATATGAAAGAATGGGCATCCAACAGTTCATGGCTTTCATTGTTCATACTTCCACTTCAAATATTTTATAGTTTCTTTGAATAACATTCTCTCCTTCCCCCCTCCCCCTCTCCCTACTGAGTACATTCCAGTTCCTTTATTTTAACAACTTTCAACCATAAAAAAAATCCCATGCTCTCTCTCTCACTCTCTCTCTCTCTCCATTGCAACCTATTATAAGCCTTGGGATAAATAGAAAAGAATTCTAAGAAGCTTATTTGATACAGACCTCATTAACTTATCCTTTTGATGATGGACCTACTATTCTTTGAAGGAATTATTGTTCAATGTTTGACATCTACCACACTATTATAAACATTTCGAGCTGGAAAGTGGGACAGTGGGCAATGAAGCTAAGACACGTAATCATAGAGACTAAAGTTCTTTGATTAAACCTCCCATTAGAGACAAGACCATTATGGAATTTTAAATGCTATCAAAGTACAAAGAAAAGGGTGGCATTCCATGCATGAACAACCCAAGAAAAACTTCATCTGCTTTCAATTCATCTCTATATAATGATGATTTTGCATAATTTCAACAATCATCTGCTTGACTAAATGATGATCATGGTCGTTGCGAAGTCAACATCGATCGAGTTTGTCGATCAGACACGGCATTTAGTACTGCAAAGTGACATCAGATCATAGCCCTACTTATGTGTATAATCATTTCAAGTTAGAAGCGTTTCAACATTAGAAGGATGATTGGGCCAAAAAGGAATGGAGTTCTGGACACTGCTGCACCATTTTTGCAATATTAATAAACATGAGCTATTGTTGTCACTGTGGTGATCTCTGCATTCGAACATGCTTTAATCCATTTTTTAAAGATTCTTCTCTCCACTGCCAAAGTTAACTGATGAGCACTTAACAAGATTAAAAAATGTTCAGGAAGAAAGTTAAAATATACTAAATTGACCGTTAACCAGCCGGCTCCAATATTCGCCATTCCACTTCACTTATTTCACTCCTTCAAAGTGCAACTAGACACAAACAAATACTCATTTTTTTTAAACACTCAACGCCATCCCTCCCTCCTCTCTCTCTCTCTCTCTCCCCGCCTAGTTCCTACATAATACACTGCAAGCAAAAGCAAAATCCCCTTTTTCTCTCTCTGACTGGTAGAATAACGAGCTTTGGGATCCATACACTTATCAGTTTATCACGCCAATGGAAAGTGGTTTTGCTTCTCCTCGAGCTGATGCCTTTCCAGCCGGCCTTCGTGTTCTTGTTGTTGATGATGATCCAACTTGGCTCAAAATTCTCGAGAAGATGCTTAAAAAGTGTTCTTATGAAGGTAATCTACTACCAGAAGTTTCAGTTTTGCTTTTATATGTTGTGTCGATTTCTGGAAGGTCTTGGTTAACTGATTGGTTGTACCAAATTTGATGCTTACAAAGTGTCTTTCTTTCTACTCTATAGCAGTTTTCATTCTTTAAGCTAAATATGAGAGAGCTTGGTATGAGCAAACTATGTGATTCTTTGTTCAAAAGCATCCATAGCTTCAGTGTTGAAGCTCTAGAACTTTTCTCTAGAACGCAAATCATTAACTGAAAAGACATGCAGCTTGAAATGAAGGAACTGTACATTCCGACATCTAGAAAATTTTTGTAACTGTTATATGGAGGATAAAAGGAAAAGAAAATCATGTTCAGTTAAAATTTTATGGTTGGAAAGGATATGGGATTTCTTCACTTTGTCTGATCGTGGCAATAGTTGTGATGTCAAAATAATTTCTATGATTATGATATGGAGGAACTTAGTTGAGAAAAATCATGCTTAATTGGCTCTAAGCATATGATATTGTTTTTATTTGCCTTTGTGCACTTCTGCTTTCAGTTGAGAATGTAACTGGATAAATTTCTTTCTAGTTCAGTGATCCTCGTGAAAATCCCAAAGTTTTTCCATGACCATTACATACCAAATATGTGGCATCATGTAGCATTTGACATCATAGAAATGGGAGAATTTGTAAACTGTAAATTTCCTAGGAATGTTATTATTACATAATTTTGCGTCATTACTCCTAGAAGCAGGAACACTGAGTTGACTAGAACTCGCCAATTTTCACAAATTGGAACTTCAAGACCCCTCTGTTCAGTTTGGCCATAGATTTATACATGGTGTATAAGAACAACTATTAGGCCAATTTGACTGTAGCTTGCCTTCCTCACCAAACCCTTGCTCCCAATACACCCGAAGCTCCCTCTCTCTGTGTCAGCCCCACAAAACGGAGAATGTGACAGATTTTGTGAATCTAGTGTCCTGCGAGGTGCGAGCCCCACCTGCAATTCCAGGCTAACTGCGAGTCCGGATAACTAGTGAACCTGGATGACCTGTGGGTCTGGACACCCTGCGAGTCCCACCTGACTGCGATTCCAGGAAGACCTGTGAATCCAGATGACTTGCAATTCCTGGATAGCCAGTGATTCCAGATGCACTGCAATTCCCATATGTCTGCAAGTCCATATGCAGCATTAGTGGCCTAATCCCTCTGCTTCAACCACAGACCATTATGAAAATTTTCCTTCAGAATTTTTCAACTTAATTGGGTCAGGTCATGGAGCAGGTTGAGACTGGAATTCAAGGCACCAACACAACAATCTGAAACTCGGGATCTTTTTCCTGTTTTACTAGGTACTTGCCACTTGGTTTTTTCTTTTCTTTCAATAACTTAGCAAATCTATTCTGTTTATTCCACTTTCCAAGCTCCATTTTTAAATCCACGTTTGGTGAAGTCAGAGTAGGTCTTCTCAATGGAAAAAGGATAGGACTATTCAATTCCCAGTTCCCAGTCAAACTGTCATTGAGTTGGATTGCTGTCTGGGATAAGAAAAGTCACAAATTGGTGGCCAAGAAAAGGTTTCCCGAAAAGAAATTACTTAAAGCTCGTGTTTTAAGGCAATGAAGAACATTGTTTGTTTGGGATGTGAGAGGTGTCACCGTGGGGGTGATGCACAATAAAAGGTCAAGGATTAAATCCAACCAACAATCAAGTCTCTGAAACCTAGGTTCTACAAAAGTGTCAACTCTTCATAAAGTTCTTTCTACATGAGTATAGCTAAGGAATGGTCTATGAAAGAATCATTCTCTCTATGCTTTCATATATGGCTCTGTATAATACTTATGATTTCAAGAATTGCATTTTTAAGCTTTCAACTTGCACTTGGACAGAGCACCCAATGCTGGTATAGTTATCAGCATCAAATTATAAATTGTCAGAAGTCACGTGGATCTTTTTAAATAAAAAATCTAGTTTTTGAGTAGCTAAAATTTTCTTCTCCCTTCCTTGTAATCTCTTGTAATGAAATTCTAGGGGAGCCACTCGTTAAGATAGTGAACAAACAAGCAAAGTAGAACCCCTTTATCAAACTCTCAGCCAAAATTTTCATTTGTTCTTTTCAAGCATCATCATCGCATGGCAGATGACAGATGGAGGACTCCACATAAATGGTACTTTGGCATCAAGCGAACTGAGTGAATATTTTAAGGCAAGCATTACACGGATTTGGAAAGAAGATTAATGGTTCTGCTGGATGAGGTAGCTCAGTTCAAAAGTATCATCTTGGAGGCATTAATTGAAGGAAAAAAGCCTGTTGCTTTATGCCATGAAAAAATATAGGTAAAGTGTCATAAGGTTCTAAAATTCAGTGGTAAAATAGGGGTGGAAATATGATTCTTACAAGTGGATTCTGATAAATTTGCATCTGTTCCATTTGAGTGGTGCCATGCAAATCCTTTACAGTTTAATGCTGATGTGTAATGATATATGGCTATTGTATTTTTAACCAAAATTGGATACAATCCTCATGATCTCCAATGACAACATTAAGCATGCATACTTCCCATACATTTCTGAATTATTTGTTTCTTTTGCTTTCTGCAGTGACTACATGCTGTTTAGCAAGAGATGCGCTGGACATGCTTCGTGAAAGAAAAGATAGATTTGACATTGTAATTAGTGATGTTAATATGCCTGATATGGATGGTTTCAAGCTTCTTGAACATGTTGGACTTGAGATGGATCTGCCTGTCATCAGTCAGTTCTTTTCCATTAACTTCGATAGTTTGGCTTACAGGATAATTTTTTCCCATTTTTCATTTTGTCAAGTTAAACCTAAAGTTATGACTATACATATTCTGTGTTTCTGCACAGTGATGTCTGTTGATGGGGAAACAAGCAGGGTGATGAAAGGTGTTCAACATGGAGCATGTGATTATCTTCTTAAGCCTGTTCGGATGAAAGAACTTCGAAATATATGGCAGCATGTCTTCAGAAAGAAAATTCACGAGGTTAAAGAAATTGAGAACCATGAAATCCATGATGATGTTCAGATGATGCGAAGTGGATCAGAAGAATTTGATGATGGACACTTACCAAGTGGACTTGATTTGGTTTCACCAAGGAAAAGGAAAGACATGGAAAATAAAGAGCATGAAGACCAAGAACTTAGTGATCCTTCTGCTATGAAGAAGGCTAGGGTAGTTTGGTCTGTGGATCTCCATCAGAAGTTTGTCAATGCTGTAAACCAGATAGGTTTTGATAGTAAGTTTATTAAGCTTCCTCTTAAAACCAATTGTCTGAGGAGTTTCAATCAATTTAACTCCAAAACTTATGATACTTTTGATATTGTTTACTATTTTCAGCTTTCATCCTGCTGCATATTGCAGATATATGATGTTTAATTTCTTTTGGCAGAAGTTGGCCCAAAGAAAATACTAGACTTGATGAAGGTTCCTTGGTTAACTAGAGAAAATGTTGCTAGCCACCTGCAGGTATATATTTTTCTATATATCATCTTCCAGTTATCAACTTGAAGGTGTCTTGGGCTCTGCTTAACACATTAAAGAGTAGTCTGTTAACAAAGCCCCCAAGCAAAGTTGTCATTCATTGCTCTAAATAAATTGATTTTTTTTTCAATAGTTGAAATATCTCTGAACTCCTTTTTCAAATCAAACATCAATTTCTTCTGCAACCTAATTTGAAATTATATGCTGATGTTAAATCATAGTTTCCTGCTTCTAACGTGATAATAGCTTATAGTTGCTTATGCTTTTCTGCACAGACTACGGAATTTCCTTTTGAGCCTCAAGATTGGAACTTACTAGGCATTAACTAGTTCTGATGTTTCCATGGCCATAACTTCATTTAGTTTAATATGGTAAACATAGAAACCAGAGACACCAGGGCTTCATTTGGTCATGCATTTAATGTTTACTTATTTTAGCTAATCAAATATTTAAGAAATCAAATTTCAGTATTAAATTTGTTAAATACAATAACTTTGGAGCATGCGACCACCTTAATGACAATAATAGTTAAAGGTTAAATAAAATTACCTCCTTTATTTTTTTTCCTTTTGGGTCTTGCATAATATATTTATATTCTTCCTTTTTGCATCAGAAGCATAAAAGTTATGGGTCATCTGAAAAAATTTTGGAAAATGTCAAATGAAATTTTTCATACCTAATATTGGATATGCTATGGGAAATCTGACTCTGAGAAACTTGTATGATATGCAGAAATATCGTCTATATTTGAGTAGGTTACAAAAACAAAATGAATCAAAAGCTCCCTTTTGTGGGACAAAGCAATCGGATTTCACTCCCAAAGATACTCCTGGGAGCTTTGGCATTGAGAATTCAATCAAGATGCACCAAAATAATGCAGCCAACAGCAGCTATGGATACTGTGGCAACAAAATTCTTCTCCAAAATGTGGGCTCAGAAATCCATGAAAATGACCTGAAGGGTATCATTTCCTTCTTGCCAATAACAGAACCCAGAAAAGCTTTGGCTGGTGATGTTTCAAATACTCAGAAGTCGAGTAACGGTTCTCGAGTGGGCTTGTCTCATTCTTTTGGGTCACTGGGGCCAGATGTCAATTATCCAACCATCCAATCACCCAATTGTTGGAATACAGATATTCCCGTAATACAGTTTGCACAAAAAGCAAAGCAAGAAAAGGAGCCATATATTTTGTTGGAGGATAACTACATGCATCTACCACCATCAGGTCCACAGAATCAGATCCAAGCTGATGGACTACAATCCTCTCCACCCATTAATTCCAGACCTGTCACAGAAAAAGGTAAAGTCATTGCCACTGAAATCAAGCCTTTGTGTACTGAATATGGAAGCAACCATGTTGGAGATATTTCCCGAAGAGGACAAGGAATTAACTTGTTTTCTGTTCAAGCTGATAAGGATGTAGCAAATGCTCAAGCTTTTGGATACATGCCCACTGCTACTGGTTCGTCACCTATGAGAAATCAAAGCTTTGACCAGATTTACATAAACAACTGGAACTCACTCCAACCAAGCATAATCCCAGAAGGTGGATCATTTTTGTCATCTTCTCATGAGGACTTGGAACCCTGTTCACTTCAAGGAGGATATGGTTATACCGAGACTGTTGGCTTCAACAATGAGGAGATTTTGGCCTATGAACATTTAGATCTCACTGCTGACCCTCCGAGCCACCTGTATGATGGATTGAGGTTCAATTGTGATTATCCATGTGATTCAATGGAATATCCTTTAATGGACCGAGGTCTGTTCATTGCATGAGGCCACTCCACTGAAGTCTGCTCTTGCTAGAGGTTAGCAAAGGATCTTGTTCCAGATAACCGGTCCCCCGAGCAAAATGCTTGCTTGCCCTGGGTTTATTAGGATTTGTAATATCCCACATTTGGACATGGATGTCAAAACTTGTACAGTAGATCAAAGCAGTATAATGTGTACTTGTGATAAACAGTTAATCTATGCTGCTTCAACTGCAAATTTTTCAAAATGGTTCCATCAAAAAATAAATAAATACTGCAAATTTTCAAAATGAGAACATCATATATTTTGATAATGTTCATATCAACTCCAAACAGGCACATGTGCACTGTTATGGGCCCGGGCGTAGGATCTCGTCACGGGTCGGTCCACGGGGAGAACCTCTAGCTTCCCCTTGCCCCTCCCTTTGCGTGYAGACCCTATCGTGGCGACCTAAGGGGTGATTTGTCCAAGAGATCACCCTAACTCTCCTCAACTCTTCTCTTGGCTGAAATTCTTGGATGCCTTTA